GGGGCTCCACCAGTTCGTTTCTCGCCAGCCACAAGTGGCAGGCCCGGTTTTACAAGGTGCGACTCTCGCCTCCACCCACAGCCAAACCCAAAGTAAGTTGTCAGCTGATGGAATCAGAACTCGGAGAGAACTTCATACATTACCAAGGAGTCTCCTTTTAAGCTACAACTGCCGTAATCGTCCAGCTCTCTTGCTGGAGTAGTCGGTATTTTTCCTTCTATGGCATTTCGAAAGGAGGATAGCCAGGAGGGCGCACGAGAGTGCCCAGTGTGCTTTGAGAGTCTGTCGGCCACTGAAAGGACTCTGAGCTGCGGACATGTATTCTGCCATGACTGCTTGGTCAAAACGCTGGTCAGCATCAACAGCGATGGAACCATCAAAGACACAATCGTTTGTCCCATGTGCCGACATCTTACATTCATCAAGAAACGAAAGGAACCGCTGGTGTCTCTGGTGGCGGACAAGGATCCCGGTAAAGAACAGATCCTAGAGGTGCCTCTCCATCTGCCACTGGTCCAGCTCCAGAGCGCACGGGGCGGCAGTTTACCAAGGGGAGTTAACTGGATTTCTCACTGCTTTATGGGGATATCTGAACGGCTCCGTCGACATTGGCTAATCAACCGCAGCCATAATGTGTCTGAGATCTTCATCATAAGTGCCCAAGGGCGACCCATGGCTGAAGAAGATGCTCTTAATATTGTGATGACTGTGGTTCAACCCCAGCGCCAGCGACGGTGCAAGATTTGCACAACTTCAGGCTGCCTGCTGGTTTTGCTGTCAGCATTTCTTTTACTGGCACTGGCGACTGCAACTTTACCCTGGGTTTTGTTGGCATAGCTCGGGGATGTCCGAGTTACGAGGTGCCATTAGGGAACGATGAATTCACATTTACCAAAAAAACAAAAACAAACACCCTCTACGTCACATTTTCACCGAGTCAAGCCCATGTGGAAGCACTTCACTTGTTTTACTTATCGAAATAATCTGAGGATTTCGGAGGACAATAACTCCCCGAAAATGTGGAGTTCAGTTAATCTATTAGTTTGTAAAATGGTTTCATGCATTGTTTTTCCCTCCCTGATTTTAAGGAAATGTCGGAGCTTATAGGCATGTATTCCCTAATGCATTACCAAGCAGCAGTCTAAAGTACAGTAAAAGTTGGGAAAACCTTGACAGCTAAGTCTTATTTTGCATTCCTGTCTGTGACTGTGCATGAGAAGCAAAATGCAGACAATTTTAACATTTTTATGAAACACTTCCAAAAGTTAGTCAATTCACTGAATTGACATTTTGTAGTTATAATATAGGCCATTTAAAACGTTTGTCAGAAAAATATGCAATTTAAAATAATTTACATAATTGCACTGCTGTTAAAGCAGCTCAGTTCATTATTATGTTACCCTGTTATTGGATTCCCTGTTTCCAAGCAGCAGGCAAAACCTTTGTGGGAAGAAGCTGTAAGGTACAGACCTACTGGCTCTATTCTACTTTCACGAATGTTTTCTGTGTCTGAATAATAATAAATGTGTGTGTGAGGCAAAGTGATTAATATACAGATAACTGAATATTGAATTGAGTTAAAGGTTGTATGACACCCTTCTGTAGACAGCATGTGAGTGGCTCCTCCTGTAGTGTGTATAGTGACTTTGTAAACAGAGCCACCTTTAAAACTTTCAGTAAGAAATAATTGATGCACCCTGTTTGAGCCTGGTTGATTGTTGCAAGGAGATATACTGCTGGGCTGTGGCATTAGATTACCTCTGACTCTTTAAGAATGGGGCAGTGGAGAGTAGTTCATTTAGGCAGAAATTAGAAAACAAAAGGTGTATAACGACTAAAAATGATAATAGGGCACATGATTTCTTAGAAAGAAATCAGTGGAGATGTCATAGAATGAGCTTTATTATCACTACTTTCTTGACAAAGGTGGACACTCATAGTTTCCTCCTGTGGTAAGCCTTCAGTTATCCTGCTGGGCCAGTCCTACAGGTTACACCCTTGAAGAGAGTTCCACTTTTCAGCCATACCTGGTTTCTCAAAGTGTGGGAGGAGAATAATAATAATTCATTTGAACAGTCAGACATTTTCAGTTATACTTACTGACAGTATCAGGAGTGAGAATGTAGAAAACTGCTCACTAAACCAAGTGTTAGGTTTCTCCACCGGTATGCTCACCCTAGTGTATATGCCTACTGCAAACTTCAGGCAGGGGTGAAAAAGTATTTAAAAATATTACACTACATGTAAAAGTCCTGCATTAAAGTACAGAAGTATAGAAAAATGTACTTATAGTAAAATTACTGATTTTTCAGTAAAATATACCCTGACATATTAGTATTGGAGTGTTAATACCGATGCACCAGTACAGCATCAAGTAGCACTTTACTCTTCTGTGAGGTGGCGCTAGTTTTTAACTACTACTACAAAATAAATCCGAGGCACTAATGGACGATTATGTGGTCGGAAAGAAGGGGGAAAGTGCTGATAAAAAAATGTTCATTCTCACTGATTCGTTCATGTTTGTGGACTTTCTTGTAATCTTTGTTTTTCATGATGTTGGATACTTTTACTTTGAGTCTCAAACAATATTTAAATAAAACCATGTACAACATTAAATGCCGAATGTCATTGCTAACAACTCACAGACTTCTAAACCAGTACACAGGACTCCACCTAGACAGAATTTTTTAAAGTGGTCACAAGCAAAAAAAAGTGACATTTTATGGTTGGACAAAAGTCTTGAATAACTGTTCTGTGATCAGTAACTGTCAAATTTAAAAAATGATGTTTTCCCAATAAATAGACAGATAAGTAGATAACCCAACATGAACCAAACAAGAGTATTAAAAATGTAGCATTTAATATATATGTATATATATATTTTTAAACTTCTGACATTCTGATAAAGATTACAGGTAGGCTTCACAGTACACACTGTGTTCCACTTGATATGCTAAGCTGAAGAGGAAGGGGTGGGCATGATGGGCTTGACAAGCGGCAGTTTTTGTTTGTACACTAGTAGTGAAAGCAAGAGGCAGCACATCCAGGTAATATCCACTCCTCCATCATATTGCTCAAAACCCCACAATGGATCATTTACTGTGATCCACATTCTTTAGAGTCCATCACTACTTTTGTTGATTATCCTTGTTACAATCTCTAAAAAGACAATGACTGGCACAAAACCTGGTTTATCAAAAGACTATCTAGGCGCATGCATGATACTTTTTCAAATTTGAAATATTTCTCATTTAAAATCCCCACCATAAAATGTAAAAACAAATTGAGTCATACTTTAGATCAACATATTTTGTGGTGAGGTGAATTAGGATCTACAGGCCTACAGTATTTAAAAAGGTTTGATAAAATTATGTGACAGTGGTGAAAAAGGTGGATTCTATGAATATACTCTTGAACATTTCTGTAAAAGTGGTTGAAATTAGATATGTGATGAAATAACAATTTGTGTTTTGGGGGAGGATACAGATGGGTTTTTTTCAGCAGCATAATACTGTAACACCTATAATGAAAATGAATGCATGCTTTCGGGTGGCTCTAAGTTCCAGTTATGATGCACAAAAGCATTACAGCAACACTGCCCTGCACTGATACATGCCAACAGGCCTTAATTAACCTTCATTCAAATACAAACTGCCAACACTTATTTAAAAAACAAAACAAAACAGGCAGCCTACCAGCGGAAATCTGAGTGACTCACATTCAGAGATACCCCTGTCTCCCAGTATAAATGTGTGGATCTAGCACAGAAAATAAAACCTATAGTACACATTGATTATGACTATAGTTCCAAAATAGCAACCAGTGTGAGGGCACTTGCAATTGTTTCATATAATCACCACAACTATCAGTATAATTACCAACATCACCAAATTCTTCATAAACATAGTCCATTGACAGCACACACACGGAGCCATACCACAGATCACTTTTGGAGAGAGGTTACTCTAGAAACCATTTTGTCAGAAGTAAATTCACACACACACACACACACACAAAGCAAACAAACAAACAAATTGCTTTGTAATAAGTTAATGGCTTTTTTCTGTAGGCTTGGGAAGGGTGATTTTTAACCAGCTTTTGGACTGAGGTGGATCAGTAAACACTGTAATTGCACTTTAACTTACACAAATATTGTCCTAAAACCTTTTGATATTAAAAAGTGACTGTGCAGGATCTGTTATCTGATTCATTTATAATGTCTCACTGTCTGTGGTGAGAATACCAACAAAGAATGCATTTTCAAAATCATACAACAGGCTTGCCAAATTTGATTGTGTATCAAATTTTGTAACTGAATAACATTTCTATTTCAGTATAGGCTTAGGTCTACATTTGTCCTCATAATTAATAATTAAATGGTCCAAGTGGTCTCAGAGTTATTCATTAGTGCTTTAGCATGTCTGAAATCAAAGCTCAGGAGAGAACTTCTTTTTTTGATTTCTAGCATAAATAACATTCTGCATTTCTGCTGCAGCATCATTGTTACCTGGTGTTAAAGTGAAACATCATGAATCTACAGTAAACCTGTTCACTGTGTGCAGGGACAAAAATAACACCAAACTTTTAATCATTACATTT